GCAGGCGGTTGGCCGTGTCCTTCAGGGCCTGCAGCTTCTGCTGGTCGGGCTTGTGGTAACCTTCCATGGTGCAGCCGGACGAGGAGACGGCGCCGACGGGAGAACGCAGCAGCGGGCCCAGCGGCGACTAGCGGCGGAAGAAGAGCGGCGCCGCGCGAGGCGCGTTAAGTCGCCTCGGGAGACGCCCTTAGGGGCGGGACGAGGGCGTGGGGCGGGACGAGGGGCGGGGCGTCGGATCACCCCAGACGACGCGCGCACGCGGCCCCGCCCCGAAGCTCCAGACACCTGCGGCTGCCCGAACTTGATTGGTAGGCTTCCCTGCACTGCTCGAAAGTGCCACGACGATAATTAGCATTACAATAACATAATAATAATAAGAATAAATGGTAATATAAATTATAATAATAACAATTACTACTCCAGGTCCTAAGTTTAGCGAAGAGTTTAGCGGTTTATTTGCAGATCGATCTTTGTGGGTTGTGTGTGTGTGTGTGTGTGTGGTGCTGGGGCTTGAACTCAGGGCTTTGCGCTGTCCCTCATCATTTTCCGTAGTCCTTCAGCTTTTTCCGTTCAGGATTGGTGTTCTACCACTTGAACCACACCACAAGTTTCCTGTGGTAGGTGGGATTCACAGGGGAAGTAATCATTGCTTTACAGATGAGCACATTGAGATTGGTCAGGTCAATCAAGGTCATAGGGATGGTGGGTGCCAATCTGCTCCAACAGACCAGCTCTAGCAGATTGGCACCCACCAGCCCTGGGACACCAACACCAGCCCTCACAACTGAGTCATCCTTTAGGACCCATGCAGTAACTGCAGTGAAGGGCACCCTCAGGGAGCCAGCGTCCAAGACCTTCCAGATCACCAAAACATACCGAAGGGGATTAAGTATTGCTATTGAGGTTATTACTATTAGTTTTTGGTTATTGGAAGAGAGTTATTGGGTTGTACAGGCTGCACAGAGTGAAATGTGGAGTCGCAGACTCCCTTCCTTCCTTCCTTCCTTCCTCCTTCCCTCCCCTCTCACCCTCCACCCTCTCTTCTCCTCTCTCTTCTCTCCTCTCCTCTCCTCCTGTCCCCTCTTCCTCTCCCCTCTCCTCTTCTTTGCCTCTGCCTCGGCTTCTGCCCTTCCCCCCCCCCATACACACACACACACACACACACACACACACACACACACAGAGGATTTTGCTGACAGGCTAACCTCTAACTCACTATGTCACTAAGGAAGGCTTTGAATTCTTCATGGTCATACCTCTTACTGAGTGCTGGAATTCCAGGTGTAGACCACCATGCCCAATTCTGGAACAACAGAATTCCGAGTTGTACTTAATGGCAGCTAGTCAGATCCTAATTGCCTGAAATAATAATTAAGCACACAGATCTCTGAATAAGTCTCTGGAATGGAGCCTATCACTCTGAAATGTTAATAAGATTCTCAGGGAAATATGTTGGGCTTTTGGAACTCTGCAGGAACACACCACTAGAATTTATGATTCTGGAACTGGGTCACCCTAGGTTCAATGCTTTGCTGGGTACCCCAGAGGGCTGAAGGCATTTTAAAGTCAACACAAGGTAGGTGTGTTTGTACAGGCCCATAATCCCAACATTGGGAACCTGAGGCAGGAGGATCAAGAATTTTGATGCTAGCTTGTGCTACAATAGTTTTAGTTTGAATTTGACAGCATGAGACTGTTTTGTAAGTGTGCACATGTATGTGTATGCTTCTGTGTGTGTGTGTGTGTGTAGGAACTAGGGTCTATCCCTTTTTTATTCAAGGCATTCAAGCCATAGCTCACTTCTGGCTTTTCTGGTGGCTGTAAGCATTATGCCCCCCTTGGTCCTCAGCTCCACCCAGACCTGCTGGCCCCTTCCTCTCTCCACCCAGACCCACCTGAACTCCCATCGACCTCACTTCCTACCCCGGAGACCTTGCTGCTACCTAGATAGTGGAGGCTGCCATGTGCTCGCTCGCTCTCTCTCTGGGAGAAATATGGCTCCTCTAATAAACCTTGTAATAATCTTTCTCCTGTGCCTGCCTGCCTCTGCGTGGTCCCCTGGGATGGATGTGATGGATCCTTTCAGTGGCTACTTGGAGATAAGAGTCTCATAAACTTTCTTGCCTAGCTTGGCTTTGAAAGAAAATCCTCAGATCTCAGCCTCCTGAGTAGCTAGGATTACAGGTGTCAGCACAAAGTGCCCAGCTCCTTTTCTTTTTATTGGGGTTTAATGGCAATGAACACAGTTGGCTTATAACCAGAAGAAAATAAAATTCCATCTTGAAAAACATCCTGTTGCAGTTGGGGGGGGGTGTCTTTGTATGAAGGCACATTTTTTCTTCACTTCCCATGATTATGTAAACCCATGTCTATGTTTCATAAGCCAGGCTGCTGCCCAGGATGTTTTTGGGTTGAGAGCAGAGCCCCAGGCTGTGGGGGCTGCTGTTCTTGCTTAGCTGTCCACATGCAACTCAGGGCAAAGCTACTGTGATGTGCTCCGGCAGGTCTGCCATCCGTTGTCCACTGAGTGAGCACTGATGAGGCGTGAATGGCCCTGAGCAGATGCATTCCTGAGTGACAGTGTCGGGCATTGGTTTGGCAGGGCTGGGCCCATGTGTGGGCTCCTGAAACATGCCTGGGCCCAGTGCTGTGAGTCCCAATTCAGCACAGGGATTACAGTGGAGCCAAAATCTTGATGATCCTGGGACCCTTCCTTTGGCTCATACCCAGGGCCCCTGGCCAGCAATAAAAAACCTGCAATAAGTCCTTTTGGTGTAAGTGCTCACCTTTGCCCCTGTGCCTGGTTGTAGGCACCTGACAGAGGCTTGTAGGTTGATGAATGGAGTTTTAATAAATCCATCTCTGCTCTTCAATGCCTGTTTTCTCTTTTGTTTTGGAGGAAATACCTCTTTTAATATTGTCCCAGGAAAGCAAGAACACAAAAAAAGTTGGATGCACATTTTTCTCATACGGAATTTTTTTTTGGGGGGGCCTGTTCTGGGGCTTGAACTCTGGGCCTGGGTACCATACCTGAGTGCTTTTGCTTAAGGCTAGCACTGTACCACTTTAAGGCACAGTGACACTTCTGGTTTTCTGGTTAATTGGAGATAACACTAACTTTCCTGCCCAGGCTGGCTTTGAATCATGATCCTCAGATCTCAGCCTCCTAAGTAGTTAGGATTATCTGGCTTGGAATTGCATTTTAAAGATTTTATTTATTTATTTTAGTACTGGTACTGGAGCTTGAACTCAGGGCTTTGCACAAAGCTAGTGTTCTACCACTTGAGCCACTCATTTCAACTTCTCCATTTTTAACTGATTAATCAGAAGCGTTTTTTACATTTGTCTGCCTGGCTGGCTTTGAACTGAGATCTTCAGATCTCAATCTCCTGAGTAGCTAGGATTATATGCATGAGCTACTGGCACCTGATTTGGCTTTTTTTTTTTTTTTGGTGAAACTGAGGGTTTAAAATCAGAGCCTCATGCTTATTAGGCACGTACTCTACCACTTGAGCCATGCCCCTGCCCATTTTTTAAAGAACACTCTTAATTTCTGATTGTAAAAGTAAAACATGCTCATTGTAAAAACCTGGAAAATATAGAAACTTTAAAAGATAAGTTAAGCCACATATTCTTCCACCCAAACAGGACCAGCGTTAGTCATTTAGTCATGTGAAAGATATTGATTTATTATAAATGTCATAGAGAACATAAAACAGGGGCATGGGTGGAGGGAAGACTAGAGACTCACAGTAGAGTGGCAGAGAATCAGGCAAAGCTGGAAACAGTCATTGCTCAATAAATTTGCTGTTGTGGTTTATTACTAAAAAAAAAAGTGTCAGGATCCTATGAAATATACCTTTTCTTCTACATTCTCCTCCTAGCAATTCACAATTCTTCCAAGATGTTATTTGGACTAGCTATGTAATGTCTGATCATAGAGCTCTGTTCTCATTTATTGCTCATCCCCAGAGATGACTGGATTGCTTTTGTTTTCTCACTGGTAGATATTACCTTGCAGTTAACATTTTGGAATCCACATCCATGTCCTGAGGAGTTACCTCTAAATAAGAAAACTACTGGGTCAGAGGGTGGCAACCTTCCTAGGGCTCTGGATACAAATTTGGCAAAGAACTCTCCAGAAAGTCTGGTTCTGCTAGCTCAGTCAACTTTGCTTCTAACTGGTAAGGTTCCATCTTGAGATTGGGAGACAGTGTAAAGAGAGGGGACCTGAAGCCTACTTGGCCCACAGTAGATCTTTGCTCTTTACTGAGCCTCAGTTTCCCCACATCAGTAAAATGGGATTTTTCTTACAACACAGATGTTGAGTTCTTCCTTCATGCCAGGCTCTGTGCTCTAGGTTAGCCTTGTCGGGCCAGAAGAGTGGAAACCTGCTGACATATTTAGGTATAAGCAGTGGGGTGTAGAGGCAGGGAGGAATTAAACCGCTGTGGCCAGGAAGCAAAGGGAAGTACACAAGAGGTGTGCACTGGAAGTTTTTTTCTCCAGGATATCTGCACTCTCCCAGTATCACCCCATGTCCAGCCACCCAGAAAGTTTATCAAGTAGTCAAATGTATTTTTTTTTCTTTTCCTCTTCTCTTCCCTTTCTTTCATGTCCCTTCTCATTCTCTTTCCCTTTCTGTGGTGCTGAGGATTGAACCCAGGGACTCTTGAATGTGAGGTAGGTTCTTTATATCATGATTTACAGTCCTAGCCTTCGTTTTTTTTTTTTTGGTCTGGTCGTGGGGCCTGAACTCTGGGCTTGGGCGCTGTCCCTCAGCTCTTCAGCTCAAGGTGAGTGCTCTATTGTTTGAGCCACAGCACCACTTATGGTTTTCTAGTGGTTTATTGGAGATAAGAGTCTCACGGACTTTCCTGCCCGGGCTGGCTTTGAACCACGATCCTCAGATCTCAGCCTCCTGAGTAACTAGGATTACAGGCGTGAGCCACTGGCGCCCGGCTCCCTTAGTTTTTTCCACACAAGGATATCTCCTGACAACTTGAACCACAGTTCCACTTCTGGCTCTTTGGTGGTTAACTGCAGGTAAGTCTCAGACTTTCTCACCTGGACTGGCTTCAAATTGCAATTTCAGAGCTTAGCCTCCTAAGTAGCTAGGATTACAAGAGTGAGCCACCAGCACCTGGTCATTAGGTTTATTTTAAAATAATAATTATTAGCCGGGCGCTGGTGGCTCATGCCTGTAATCCTAGCTACTCAGGAGGCTGAGATCTGAGGATCGCGGTTCAAAGCCAGCCCGGGCAGGAGTGACTGTGAGACTCCTATTTCCAATAAACCACCAGAAAACCGGAAGTGGCGCTGTTGCTCAAGTGGTAGAGCCGCTCGCCTTGAGCTGAAGAGCTGAAGGACAGCGCCCAGGCCCAGAGTTCAAGCCCCACGACCAACAACAAAAAAAAATAATAATTATTATGCTTGTGGCTAACACCTGTAATCCAAGTTACTCAAGAGGCTGAAATCTGAGGATCATAGTTCAAAGCCAGCCCAGGCAGGAAAATCTGTGAGACTTATCTCCACTAGCCACCAGAAGTGGCGCTGTGGCTCAAGTGGTAGAGCACTTGCCTTGAGCTGAAGAGCTGAGGGACAGGGTCCAGGCCCAGAGTTCAAGCCCCATGACTGACCAAATAAAGAAATAAACCTAATCGTTTACATTGCTAAATTTTATTTAAAAAGCTGTGTGAACCAGGTGCTGATGATAGCTACTCAGGAGACTGAGATCTGAAGATTGTTGTTTGAAGCCAGCCCAAGCAAGAAAGTCCCTGAGACTCTAATCCCCACTTAACTACCAGAAAACAGGAAGTGGCACTGTGGCTCAAAGTTGTAGAGCACTATCCTTGAGTGGGAAAAGCTCAGGGGCAGTGCCCAGGCCCTGAGTTCAAGCCCCACAACAACCCAAATCAACAACAAAACCCCAAGTCAACAAAAAACAGCGTGTGGAGCTACAGGTAAGAGGATACTAAAGAAAAAAGAACAGAACATTTGTTTTAAAAGGAGATGAGGGGGGCTGGGAAGTCGGCTCAGCGGTAGAGTGTTTGCCTTGCATGCCTGAGGCCCTGGGTTCGATTCCTCAGCACCACATAAGCAAAAAGAAAAAAAGCCGGAAGTGGCGCTGTGGCTCAAGTGGTAGAGTGCTAGCCTTGAGCTGAAGAGCTGAGGGA